ATCTTCAATCATTCATAAACAATTAGCACAATTTAACCAAAAAACAACTATTTTCAACGTAAATGAATAAAATTTCGCCAAAACCGTAACGTATAATAAAGTAAATAAAAGCAAAAGCGAAAAGTAACCTTCGCCACTCCGCTCGCAGGTGCATCGTATGAAACGTTAATGAAGTGTACGTGCAAATGATAGAACGATGGCTGATAATGGAAATACGAACGGATCTGAAAAACATTCCCGAGTAATTTCCGAATGGATTCCTTCAAATTGGTTCCTTCAAAACTGCTCACGATAACCCTCTCACTTAAAAACAACTGATCACTGCCGAAGATCCCTAACGAAACTATCACATCAATAACTCCATATATGTGATCAATATGAAAACCGAATGAATTTTGAAAAATACGACTAAATGAGTGAAAATTTTAATGAACCAAAAGAAAACTCCGTACCTGATGCTTGTCCAAACCGTACTTTTCTTCGATTGCTTTCAAACTCTTGTCACGAATACCCTCGAGTAGTGGCAGGTCATTAGCTGTTAAATCTCTGCAAACAATCACTTTTCAATCCTATCAACTAATTTTAAGCAATAAACTACCATTGCGATAAATGACTACTTTTATAAGTCCAACCGCAATAAAACGTAACTGTTGAATGAACAATAGAATGAACCGATAAAAGCATACCTTATCGACTTGATACCTTTTCGTTTGACAATTGCTATTAGGTATAAACTTTCTATCTGTTCACCACTCCATTTCAAATCCGGTGCAAGCATAAAGCCATTGTATGGATCCGAGTCCTCATATATCACACGATCTGCCTCACATTTATGATCCAGAAAATTGTAAACCCACTGAAAAAAAGAGGAACTTTTAGGAAACTTCTCCGAATGCAAAGTACCCAATCCACTGGGAAATGTAAAGACTACCGCTTTAATACATACTAGAACAGGATGATAACTTTAAAAGATGAATTACCTCTGAACGTTTTTTGAATTGTGAAATTGTCCCGAGGTTTCAAACTGATTTTCTGATATTTCGCAAATTTTTTTCGATAACAGAAAAGATATTTCAAGTATTTCAAGCGGCTTACTTACGTCAATGGACATTTGACTTAGTTCGAGGTGTGGAAGTGTGATAGTGTGATAATCATTCGGTGTTTCACTGATAACGAAACGCTTCTGATCGCGATACTTAGCGATGTGTTTATCGTTGCATGGATAGATCAGAGTTGATTTTACACCTCAAATACAGAAAAATGATACTGATATTGGGAAGAGAAGTAATTCGACAGAAAACACCCTCAGCACCAGGCCAATACCAGTCACAGAGTTTATTGACTTTGAGGTGTACATTTGAGACTGACTGAATGCCATTTCAAAACATTCGAAGTTATCAATACAAGATGGAGCTGATAAAATCTCGATATGAGGATTCTACAAAACTCTATTGATATTAGAAATGCATTCCTATAAGATATATGCATAGCTGGGAATATCACATTTAAATCTTCACAAAAACATTCAGCGAATTTTGTGGTTTTAAAAATTGAAAAGTGAATTTGTGCATGGGATAAATTGTTTGAGAATGGTGAGGAACATAAAATAAGCAATAATCAAATAGGTGAGTATTTACCTGAGAAGTTCGATGGCATATTTAATGTATAGCTCGAATAACAATCGTTTTTCAGGATTACCTTCAATTCACTGCCGTTCAATATGTTATTCCACGACGCTTCATCAACTGGAAAGGCATTTTTGTCTGCAAGTAATATAGCGTTTTCTCCGTCGTTGGATTCCATCAGCACAAAGGCACTCTGAAAAGGTAATGAGCTCAGAACATAACTTCCTTCGTAATGAAATAACTTCACCGATGAGAAATCACTGGCACAAACAGAAGAGCACATTATTCAAACTTAAATTTGAGTTATTCCTTCGAAAACCCGTCTAGTTTTTTCATTTACAACGGGGGAAATGCAATGATTGCAACAACACTAATAAAAAACACCATCACAATAAAAGGAGGCTGACCTTATAAGATGAATTACTTCCGAGCACCTCTTTGAACTTGAATTGCCTCAAATTCGATAAACCTTCATTTTCAGGAGTTGCACACGTTTCTCGATCATCTCCAGCCATGCTTCGTTGATATTTGACCTTAACCTTTCAAGAAAATAATTTCAACCGATGGCGTATTTCTCAGATATCCAACTTCACGATCGGCAATAACAGCGGCTACCTTCAAATCATCTATAACGAGACCAATCCCAGGGATGTCTGAAACGCGGGAAAATTGTATAACATGTGTGATATTGAGACTATTCCACACCGCATTGAATCAATACATCTGTCGTAACGCATAGACCTTTTATGAGAATCAGCGAAAAAATCAACCATTAATTATTAATAATCTATGACATCCACAAACTTTAGTAGCATCTACGGGAAGTTTCATGGTGCCTTGCGAAATGGGTTGGCTGGCATGACGTACTGTTTTCATCAGGAAGTGAACTCGACCGAAACGGTTCGGTAAATGAATGAATAGAGTGGTAAGTAAGCGGAGAAACTTCTGAAGTGATTCAGAAAAGTTGCGTCATATAATGAAGTCGTAATGCAATTGACTTGACGAGGAATCAGAGTGATGAGACACTTTATGGATCAGATGTAGAAGTCGACGATAGATCACTGGAAGAAGATCGTGTAAGCATTCTACCAAATCCCACTTCCAGCAG